GTTTGGGCCTCAGCTGGGATGGAGCCCTGTGTGTATGTGATTTCTCCTTCCCCAGTAGGCTAGCCCAGGCTTCTTCATATGATGGTCTCAGGATTCCCAGCAATGAAAAATGGGGCAAGCCACAGTACATAAACACATTTCAAGCCTCTGCTTGCATTATATTTGCTAATGTCCCTATTGAGCAAAGCAAGTCAGATGGCCAAGTCCAGATTCAGGGATGGAGAAATAGATTTTACTTCTTGATTGGAGGAACTACAAAATTTGGGCCATTTTTCTCTTATGACATTTTTTCTTCACAGCATTGTCTATAATAACAACAAGAACAAATAAAAAAAAAATTGAAAGTGGGTATTCAATGGCCAAGAGTAGAGGACTTGTTAAACAAATCAAGCATCCATACAATGGGATATAATGCAACATTTACAAGTGATGGAAAAGAGTTAATACTGTTAGGAAATGTTCTCCATATAGAGTTAAGTAGGAAAGAAAAAGAATCACAAAATCTCACGTTTGTGAAGCAAGAAAGTATAAAAGCATAGGTTACAAAAAGAGAGAGAGAGAGATTGGAAGGACATGCAACAAAATGTTAATATGAATATATCTAATGAAGAAGTTACTTATAAATTCTTTATGTTTTCCTATATAATAGCTAACAATTCCATTGTCTAGCACTTACCTAAGCACTTCCTGAATTTTAACTTATTTAATCCTCACAATGACCCTATAAGATAGATTCTACCAATATCATTTTCCTGTTTTACAGATGAGGAAACTAAGAAACAGGGAAGCTTAATAACATACCCAGTCATACATCAAGTAGAAGGCAGATCCTTGACTTGAATCTAAACTCCATGCTCTTAACTACTAATCCCCTTTCTAAGTCAACAGATTTGTCTGGGGATAGAGGGTGATGTTTGGTAAATGGACTATGTCATTGGATTGAAACCTTTTTTAAAAAATCGCTAAAATCACTATTTACAATAGCCAGGACATGGAAACAGCCTAAATGTCCATCAACAGATGACTGGATAATGAAGATGTGGTATATTTATACAATGGAATACTACT